GAAAAAACGATGATGGTAAAAAGCGCCGCTACAGTAAATGGTGCAAGACAGGAATGCTGGTAGAAAACTGTACATGTGTTGATATATAATATTTTACAGATGCAGCAGCTTATTTCTAACTTTGTGGTGTACTCTAGTTCTGTAGGTCTCACACACAAACGACACTTTTATTATGAAGGGACAACAGGGGTACAGTTCTTGGTTTTGGGTCAGCGGATGTTGCGGTAAAAAACTGTTAGAGAAATCAGTCAGTCTTGCTGTAAATGGAGTCAAATAAATGAACAGAGACTCGAGCTCATCTCTCGTCTCTTTTCATTGACTTCCACAACTTACTTATTTCCAACTGACAGCTGCATCTTAAAGTTCAACTTTAGACTTCATACATTTAAACACCATCTTGTATTGAAGTGCATTTAGGTCTGACACTGTCCCATAATGCAGGATGTCGCTTTAGTTTTGATCAAATCAAAGTGAAATTAATGTTACTGATTGAATGTTCTCTGTAATGAATACCAGCAGGACAATCCATTTACTGTGTTTTATCAGCTGCAGAGCCAAACATAAAAACATACTTATGTGATTTCTGCAACTCCGACTAATACACATCTGGTTCCCATGGCAATGCAACACATACAGTGTGTGATACTGTAACTGCACGGCTTCATTCAGTGATATCAGTAACGCACAGCTCAGCACATTTACAGATAAAACACATTCAGTCAGCTGAGAATCTGTATCGCTCATAAATAATAGTCAGAAAACGAGAGACGCTCTTTCCAGCCGATTTAAACCCAAAACTCTGAACATAACCTGCTCCTGACCAGGTTAGCATCAGTTGCCATGGAGATTGAGTTATGACTATGTTACACAGTGATCCAGCAGGTTAAAAGAGTGCCACCTCTGTGACACTGAAAACTCTGGCTTTAAGCGCAACATACCTGTTAACCCACTAATCTCTGTCTGTAGTACAGCCCTCAGATCCAGCTCAACATGTGACCTGCATTAGAGTAATTACGTGGACAGGATGTGTTCTGTTGAAAAAAAAGAGTGGATTTGTTTTGTTGCTGGTCAGACTGCTGTCGTTCATTTGACTTGAGCAGACGCTCTGGATGCCATCTGTGGGCCAAAGCCTTTAATCAGCCTTAAGTCCGTCAGACGGAGCAGCAAAGGTCCTTAAGAGCTTAAACAGCACAACACTTTCACACACATCACAGATTCTCCAGTTCTGGACCATTACAGACGTTTGTTGGTGATTTTTAATGACGCTGCTGTCGTCTCTCTGGTTCCATCGTCAGTTCAGGCCTGTTTGTTGTCTTCATTACACTAACACATGTACATGATGCAGTCCAGCAGCTGTAATGGAATTAAATACACATTTAGCATGTAGTGACCTGAACGTGGCGTCCAGTGGGTCTGACAGACAGCAGCAGGAATAACTGGACCTGTGCAGCCGTGCAAGAGCAGCAGCACAGGACAGTTATGGCATTTATTGGACATGTGCACATGTTTAATGTTACAACTAGTATGTGAAAGTCACATCTACAAAGCTGGAAAATCAACCAGGCAAAAACAAAAAACAATACATATAATAACAAAAAAATGACTATATTTAAAAAGTTTGCTGTTCTCGGAAAGGAAAAAAATGTTTATTCTCCAAGATCACAAAACAAACCTCACAAATTTACTGAAAAAACACTTGAATATTTTAGATTAAGGTGGTAAATGTATGAGAAAACATCTCACAAATGTAAAAAAAAACAACAACCCAAAAACCAAACAAAACACACAAAACAAGACAAAAAAACTTGAATATTCTCTGAGCTTAAAGGAGTAGATATATGGAGGGAAACAAACTTACAAATTTGTGTGGAAAAAAAAACTTGAATAATCTGTGAGATTAAGGTGACTGAATTATATGAAAAACTTAACAGAATTTTGTGAAGAAAGTGTGAATATTCTGAGATAAGGTGGTAGACTTAGAAGAGAAAACTCACAATGTGTGTGAAAAGACAGATGTTGTGTGACATTAAGGTGATCATTTCATAAAGAAAAAACTCAGATGTCTTGTGTTATTTTAAAGAAAAAAATATGTTGTAATATAAAGGACAGATTTTTTTTTCAAGTTTTATTTGTTTTTTTTGTGTATGTGAAATTACAGATAAAAAAAGAAACAACAGAAATTTACATGCAAACTGTCTTTTTTAAATGTTTTGTTACATTTTTATTTTTTTAACAATGTTTTACTGTAAAATTGATATATAATATTTAATGTATGTAAATCAGCAAAAACATCCTATCTAAAACACATTTGCCTTTATTTGAAATAAAAATCATATAAAGGATCAAGAAATCGCAAATCACTTTTTTAGACATTTATTTCCTTTATTTGTGACATTACAAGTATTATCTGGTAACATCACACTGAAATAAGTCAGGTTTTGACACTAGATCTTGAGAGGTCGTATACAAGAGAAGAGACTCTTCAAAATCTGGCGTCAAAACGTGACTTATTTCAGTTTATATGGTGCACGTTTTGTATTAAAGTTGCATTTTATCACATTTCTACCACATTTATCTGCGTGTCAGGTCATGAACATGATCTTTGCTATCAAAGTTCAGTTATTTACAGATGAAGTGATGTGAAAAAGGGCCACAAGCACATTTAAAGAGGTTTGAGTCTCCAAATAGGAGACATAAAAGAGGACAGAAGAGAAAATTATGGCTTTGTGTTAAATCTAAGCAACGACAATATAATATGAAAAATGTACAGGATCTGCAGAAGAATAAATATCTACAAAATCTGATCTGACTTAATTTTTTATTAATCAATCAGCTGTTTGATCAGTTTTTTTTTTCTTCAAAAGTCCAAGATGACAAATGTCTTGTTCTGTCCAAAGACATTCTGCTCACTGTCACAGAGGAGGAAAGAAACAAGAACATATCCACATTTAAAAGCATAAAAGCTGAGAATTTTGCTGTATTTTTCTTTAATAATTACTCAAACCGATGAATGAATTATCAAACAGTTGGTGATTCAATTAAAAGTTGACATTAATTTATTTATCGCTGCAGCTCTAATACAGAAAGTCTGAGTCTTGCTGAACTATGTCATAGTTTCTGGATTTTTTTTTTTTCATGTTTTCCATAAATTGATGCAGAAAATGCAGCGGTTACCATGGTGATGTATCTGTGAGACGTGAACCGCCGTCATCGAAGTGAAAACCTGAAGTTACAGCACTAACCTTTAAATCCTGCTTCATATCACAAACCTCTGGTGCCTGTTTTCAGCCATAAATCGATGCAGCAAAGACATAAAGAATCAGATTTCTGTACATCTGGATCATCAGTTCCTCGTTATCGCTCACTGCAGTGAAAACAGAAATGCAATGAATGTCTGAACACATGATCACTGAGCGTCTACAACATACAGGAGGAAAACGTCTATTTTTACAAGTTTCCACCAGAACAAAGGCGTCTGACTGACTGCTGTCAACAGGCAGAACAGAAACTCTGAGCTCTGTGTGGGAGCTTTCTGTTATCATGCTGTTTTATTTAGAGCCCAGAATCAAGCTGCACAGTTCGTCCTGTACCCACATATATATTCACATATCATGATTTCATCTGACTATCAATGTAAACATTATAGAAAAAGAAAAAGATTTTTTAACAGTGTCTCAATTTAGTTCATAATGTTATTATGTTAGATTTTCTCTGTTTTGTTAAATTACACATAACAACTTGTAGAATCAGAGAAAGTATTAATTTACATCCGGACTGCAAAAAAAAAAAAAAAACCCAAACCAAACAAAACAAACAAACAAACAAAAAAACAGGCAAAAACTGTTTAAAAAAAATGTCCACTGCAAAAATGTGGATTTTTTTACAAACGTTTGCAACATTTTACTGAAAAAATTTATTTCAGAGAGTTTCCTTTTTATTGTGAAATTACAGTTAATAATTAGTAGAATCACACAACACAAATATTAATAAATAAATAAATAAACAAATAAATGTGTTTTATGCTTTCACAATGTTTGACTGTAAAAAATACTCAGGATTTTAAAAATGTATTTACTATGCCTTTATGACACTATAGCATGTCTAAGAATCAATCAATCAATCAATATAAAAATTGCCCTTTTCAGTTTTTTTCCCCAGATTTTCTTGTGTGTGACATTACAGACATCATCTAGTAAAATTTCAGAAAACAGATTACATGCCGACTGTAAGGACAGAAGAGACCAACACTGTGAATAATGTCTACAACAAATAATCTGTCTTTTAACAAATGGGAACTCGTTCTTGACGACGTGTTTTTACAAATAGCGGTGGTGTAACACTTTATTTAAATCAGCAGAAATGCAAATAGTTTTACAGATATGTGTAATTATTTGTATAAGAAAGGATTGAAAATGGCAAACCATCCCCCCTTTAAAAAAAAATCTGTATTTTAAAAAATAAATTATATTTATTCTTTTTCATTTCAAATCAATTTTACTGTATATAAATAGGCAAAATATTCTAATATTTTTGCTTCATTTTTTATAATTTTATTTTAAGGTCCTCTGTTCACATCCCGGTGAGGACACCCAGCATCTTTCTGCGTGGAGTCTCCATGTTCTCCCCGTGCAGCGTGGGTTCTCTCCGGGTTCTCCAGCTTCCTCCCACACAGTCCAAAACCATGTTGAGGTTAATTGGTGATTCTAAATTGTCCGTAGGTGTGAATGTGAGTGTGCTTGGTTGTCTGTCTCTAAGCGTAGCCCTGTGATAGACTGGTGACCTGTCCAGGGTGTCCCCTGCCTTCACCCTGAGTCAGCTGGGATAGACTCCAGCCCCCCATGACCCTCGTGAGGATTAAGCAGTGTATAGATAATGGATGGATGGATATTTTTATTTTGTTATATTTCCTTGTTAATTAATGCACCAATTTTCATTTTATTAAAAAAAAAAAACAAACTTAGAATAACAATATTTAAAATAATACATAATAAAATAAAATATAGCAAAAATATTCAAAAAATAATCAAAATATTTTATATTACTAGAAATAAAAATAAAAAATGTTACCAGGAGTTTGACACCTTCAGGGTCCAGTGAATTTACGCCCCTGAACATGTTTGTGAACGCAGCACACTAAAACAGATGATAAACTAACTTGTGTTGTGTATGTTGTGGACGTTGTGTTGTCTGGAGTGTGTACTGTGTGTGTTGTGTCCTCGGACAGCGGGCAGCCCCGGTCATGTGGCCGGGCGCACCTTGCCGCAGGCGGCTATAATTAGCTCCCGTCCCCGGAGCATATGTCGGAGCGGAGCCGCCGCAGCGCAGAAACACTTCCGCGTTGAGGGAATCCGGAAGCGGACGGTGATGAGTTAACGGCGCCGTTCACCGTCTGCAGGTACGTTCAAGCGTGTGTCTCCCGACGTCTCACCGAACCTCCGTTAGCTTGACAGGAGCTAACTCCTCCACTGTTAACGGCCGGTCGGAGCGCTGTCACGGCGGGAGGCTCCAGTCCGGTACCGGAGTTCTTGGGTCTCTCCGCCGCCGCCTTTCAACGCGTCTCAACCGGGGTGGTTCTGTGTTCCAGAGCCGGAGAACCGGAGAGCAGGTGAAGCGGAGCCGCCGCAGCAGCAGCTACATGGAGGCTAACTGAGCGGACCGGAGCACCGCGGTTCGTTAGCAGCAGGATGCCCGCCGGTAAGTCCTGAGTGTCGGTGTGTGCTGACATGGTGGAGGGCTGAAGCGCTGCGGGGCGTTTAATGTCACTGGTGGTGGTGGTGTCTAAAAACAACGGCGGAGGAATGGAGTTATAAAAAAAAGTGCAGTGGTGCGTTCAGGGACGGTGCTTGAGTGTGGAATTTTAGGAGTCACCTGGAGTCCTGATAGATGGATGATTTCATGTTTAACCCTGTGAACTCCGAGCAGCTCGTTTTTGTTTCTGTCACGGTTTTCTTCACTGTTTCACGTAAAGTTGTGCACGTGTGTGGAGGAGAACTCAGAAATGTCTTCTGTTAGAATCATACAACAACAAAACAGAAAACAACATGCATTTCTCTGATTTATTCCCTTAAAAAAAATCAAAAATGTCATCAACATGTGACCAACAGGGCCCTACATGCTATGTATGTATATGTATGAAGAGTTAAATTGCAGAAACAGATTACTCCATCTTCACAAACCTTCAGAAAACCAAATTTCCCATCATCTACCTGATACAATATCAAACTTAAGTTATCTCTATTATGTCATGTCTTCTGAGTCAAATCCACTCAGCTTCAGTTTGATTGATATTATCTCAAGCAAACGACAACAAAAGGTTTTATGAAACTCTACAAAATGGAGTTTTTGCAAATTAACTCTTCACATACTTAAGTGTTAAGATTTTTACAACCTGTACACAACCGTAGAACTGTTTTGTGTCCTTGTTTGTCATTTTGTGTTGCTTTGTCTCATGTTTGTTAGTCGTTTTGTGCCTTGTTTTTCTTCCTTTGTGTGTCGTTTTTGTCATGTTGTGTCTCTTTTATGGTCGTTTTGTCTCCACATACTACAGATACTGAACTATTTCCAGCCTCTACAGATGTTTCCTCATCAGCTGTAGAAAGATGTTTCACCATGCTGAATGTATCTCCAACAACGTGCTCCTCTGTTCACTGTTTCTGAGCCATGCTGCATTTATTTGCTTATTCCATTGATGAACTGCAGTTCATCTGAAAACTCGCTGAAGTCAAAAGTTTGTGCTTCTGACTAAACTTATTGTTCCAGCTTTGAAAATATTGGACTCTGTTGTGCTGCAAACTGCTGCTGCTAATAAAAGCAGTTCGTTAATAAAGCTTCCAGCCGGGCCGCAGAGGTCATGTCAGCAGGTTTCAGCCCTTTTATTGAGAAATTTCTCAGCGTTTCTGTGTTTTCTTTTTTTTTATTCGTGGAAACTATGTGGTGCAAGACAGATCAGTAAAAGACAGAAAGAGCTGTTAAGTTGCAGTTTGGACGCAGCGTTTAGGGCCGTTTCTGATTTTCGAGTGTGCATGTGCCTCAGGAGGATTTGTACAGTTATTGTTCATTACCACTCCCTGTCGCTTGTTGTCAGGTGAGATCACACCTGTACGGTCAGGTGGAGTCTACTCACGTGTCCGAGTCAAAACAGGTCATAATGTGAGACTGTGGGCGTTAGCTTAGCATCGCAGGCTAAGCTGTAAAATTATACAACCCCTCATAATAAACTTATTATCCTGCAGCAAAACAACAACCGGCATCCTCGGCTGCTTCTAGTATTTGATTGTGCAGCTACTTTAACTACATGAATATACAAATGGCCAACATGTTTAATGCTTCTTCTCTCTCTTTGGCTTGTTACTGGAAAGTTTGTGGTTTTGCAGGACTGATTTTATCTCATGTCCTGAAATGAAAGTGTGAATTGACAGCTGCATACTGTCTGTAGATATAAAAAGAAGTGTACAAATAGCAGAACTGCAACGTTTAATCAACTAATTGATTAACTGTCAACTATTTTGATCAATGATTAACGTGTTTGAGGTATTTTTGCAGAAAACAAAGCTTTAATTCTCTAATTACCACTTCTTAAATATGGCTATTTTTAAAAATTGATTCCTCTTTTATGACAAAACAAGACACTTTTTAGGATGTCATCTTGAGCTGATGCTATCTTCTCAATTGCCGTACATTTCATGGACTAAACAATTGATCAGATAGTCAAGAAAATACCCAACAGATTAATCGACAATGAAAATAAATGCCAACAAGTGGACACAAGTTCACTTTCACGAATGCTGCGGTGAGTTTTTGCAAGTTTAGAAGTGGAAAGTGGAACAAATGGACAAGAATTTAACAGTTTTGTGCTTCACTTACAATCTTTAGTTTTGCCTCTGAGTTGTTGTGTTGTTTTGTTCCAACAACTGAAATGCTGAGAAAAAGCTACTGTGTGCAGACGATAGTTTCTGGAGTAATTTGCATTTGAAAGCCTAAAATCAGGTTTTTTTTTCCTGCTTAAAAGAATTTTTGTCACCTTACAAAGAGATTTTAGAGGCTTCCCAATGGAAACATAAGAGATTTTAAAGTAATATATGTGTTTTTATGCAGTTTTGTTGAGAAAAATAGACATTTTTAATTCATGAAATAGTCAGAAATGACAGAAAAAATAACAGATTTCTGCATGCTCACCCCCGAAAGGCTTTTCTATAATCCTTAACATACACCTGTGCACAAAGAGCCAAACACCTGATTTCCATGTCATTAAATTTCTGGAATATTTTGCATTTTAGAGCATCAGTGAAATGAATAAACTCTGCAGGGACGCCGCAGAGTCTGTCAGGAAATCTAAGAAACAGGTCAGTCTAACAGAATCCAGCAGAATGATTTTTCTATCTTTTAAAAAAAAAAAGAAATTATTATTCTCAGATAGATTCCAGCTCACAGGATATAAGGAGAGAATGATGCAGATTTAAATCACTACATTCAGCTGCTTTTTTAAACTTGAGTTTGGGTCACGTTAACTTTTCTTTCTTCGCCGTAGAGATTCAGAAAAAGACTCGAGCTAAACAAAGAGTATGAGAGAACTGATTTCCACATTCACCGCATGACTCATTTCTGTCCGACTGAAAGCAGAAGTTAGTTCTCTGCAAGCCTCGACAGTAATGCTCGTTGTGGTGGAGTTACCGTGTTGTATTTTGGTGATGCAGTATCTGCTGGTGGGTGCACAGTTCCTCTGATCTTCTCTGACAAGCCGAAGGGTTTTGTTGTCAGCCTGGTGTAGGTGGAGTTAATCAGAGAGTTTTAATTCATAAGTTCTCTGTTGTCTGTGTGTGTGACTGATCAGCTGCTGCATTACACCAACTGTTAGAGCAACGAAACACAAGCAGCACGATGATGACTAAAGGGCTAGGATTCTTTCTACAGTCAGATTAACTGTCTGTTCTAGCAAAAACTGAACAAGAAGCACAAACATCGTCACAAATCAGGACATTAGTAGATTTCCCAGTGACTAAAGCTACGCTAACGGCCAGCAGCTAAGTTAGGAGGCAGCAACAGTTTAACCTGGAACAGTCTGGAAAACAAGTAATGCAATAAATTGTTGCCATAAAGTACGGATGTTTATGAAAACGTAGATTGAAATACTTTCTATATATCTTTAAATGTTAGTCGACCCACTTTCTGAAGGTTTTTTCTCACATTGAAATTTGAGGCTGTTTGAACAACAATATCTCAGCAACAATTAAAGATAAAAACCTGAAATGTTCACTGTTATTTCTCATCATGTCATCGATTCAGAATCTGTCATACTGGACATGTAGATCAAATAATCTTGGGTGAGTTGAAATATGACAAAACATTAACAAGTTCCATCTTTGAGTTCAAGTTAACAAACAAACCCGATAAAGCAGAAGTGAACTAGTGACGTTTTCTGAACCACGTGTAGCTGCACGTCACAATAACACAAAACCAAACATACAGAATACTTTAAATATGAGATACTTGAAGAGAAAAGAGTCGTTTTCATTGAACTTTTGTAAATGATCGAGCAGGTATGACAAGCCATTTCTGTTCACCTGTCATGACTGCAGGGTTTGAAAATGAAGAATCCGTCCATCCATCCATCATCTATACACCGCTTAATCCTCACTAGGGTCATGGGGGGCTGGAGTCTATCCCAGCTGACTCAGGGTGAAGGCAGGGGACACCCTGGACAGGTCACCAGTCTATCACAGGGCTACACTTAGAGACAGACAACCAAGCACACTCACATTCACACCTACGGACAATTTAGAATCACCAATTAACCTTAACATGTTTTTGGACTGTGTGGGAGGAAGCCGGAGAACCTGGAGAGAACCCACGCTGCACGGGGAGAACATGTCCCCCACCGGGACGCGAACCGGCGACCTTCTTGCTGTGAGGCAACAGTGCTACCAACTGCACCACCCTGTAGCCCAAAAATACGTCCATATTAAAAAGGAAAAACACCTTTTAAATTATATTTGAAAAACCATTTTCAACTCCAGAACTGGATCAATATTTTGTTTCCGTGCTGCAACTTGTCAAACTTGCGCAATTAGTTATGAAAATTAAACTAAAATAACTTCTCCTGTCATTTAGTTTCACCAAGTATTTCATAATAAAAGTATTCTACATGTTTAGTTTTGTTTTATTGTCACATGCAGCTACATATGGTTCAGGAATGAGCACTAGTTGACTTCTGCTTTATCAATTCTTTTTGATACAAGTATGTAATATGAGCTCAAAGACAGAAGTTTTCATGATTCATATTTTAACTCACCCATAATCAACGACTATTTGTTCTACTTGTCCAGTATTACAGACTCTGAATCAATAACATGATGAGAAATAACAGTGAGATTTTTAGTTTTTTTTTATCTTTAATAGTACCTGAGATATTGTTGTTCAAACAAGCTCAAATTTCAATGTGAGAGAAGTTTCTGCTGAAAGTGAGTTGACGGGCAGATCTCAACGTATTTGTTTTGTTAATCTGAGAGTACACAGATACATTTTTCAATATTTGTAGTGTTTTATGAATACATTTCAAGCATATTTAGAGATGGTTGAGCAGAAGGAACCTGTATGAACCCATATCCTCACTATTAAAGTGTTCTAGTGATAAATGACAGGATCCTGCTGTCGCATGCTGATCATTTGTAATATTTAATGTCTATCAGTTATCCTTG